CAGAGCCCTTGCTCCAAGGCCTGTGGGAGAGCTGGCAAGGCGTCTTCTAGACCTGACCTTGCACAGAGGAGAGCAAGACGTGAGCAGGAGGCAGAACCAAGGCCCGCACCCAGTCCCCGTTCCGCATCCCAGCATCCTACCGCCAAATCAGGTGACCTAGACTTTGCAGGACTTTGTATGTCTGCTCATTTGTTTTTCTTTAAGGAGAAACCTAACATTTTAGAGGAGACTCCCCCCTCCCCAGAAGAGGGCTGTTTGTTAATTGGCTGATTGCTAAGAGCTCTGCCCTGAGGCACCTACGAAAGGTCCAGAAGAGGTGACCGCTGCCCTCAATTTGTCTACAAAATGCCCTGCTCCAGCTTCTGGGAGGATAAAATTAGAATGCAGTGTTCTCTGCAAAAAGCCAGGGTACGTGGCCTTTGTGACGTCCTGCCCACTTCAGAGTAGATCCCAGGGTGGGCAGAGGGGTCTGTCTTCAAAGGCTTTTGAAAATCCCATGGGTCCAAGATACCTCCCAGTCAGGCTCCAAAAGGCCTGATCTTCTGCCCCTGGAACGTCCCTTGGTTGGCATTCCTTGGTCCCCTTCGTGCTGATCGCACCAAATGCCATCTAGTGTGAAGGTGGTGAGATGGCTCTTTGCCGACGAGCAGCCCCAGGACCATGATCTCTAGGGGGAGGCTTAGGGAGGTCAGTGCAGGTCAGGAAACTGTAAGGACCAACTTTCCCTCTCGACAATCTCTCCGTGAGCTGGCACTGGCAGACAGACTCATATCTCCTTTATCCCGGCGCAGAGCAAACTCTGTGCCCAAGGACAGGCTACCTCGGTCCTGGCCAATTTTCCAGATTCAATGGCAGGTTGAGAGTTCCTGCCGCACCCAGCCTGAGACCCCAGCCCAATCAGGAATGGCCTCTCCATGCTCATGCAGGGGGTGCACCCGGGACCACCGGCCAACTCGTTCCTCTGTCTCTTATTTTCTGCATGACCTTGACCCTTCAGGTCTCCAAGACTTCCGTTTCTCCATCTGCAACATGGGAATTACTGCCCGATGTGAGAATTATATGAGGCTAGTCAGAATTTGTTGAACCTCACGGAGGACTCATGAGCTGTCCATCCGTCCATCTGTCCATCCATCCATTTGTTTATTAGCACCAGGTTCTACTCTGTTGCTAGGACAGAGGTGGACAAGTTGGGGTTCCCTGCCCTCCTGGGGTTTACATTCTAGTAAAGGGGAGACCAACAAAAGGAAGTCAGTCCATAAATAAGCTCATTTCAGAGAATGCGAAGTACCATGAAGTAAATAAAACGGGGATAAGGTGACAGAATTGTGGAGGGTGGGGATATTTGAGCTGGCTCATGAGTCACTCTACACCTAGATCAAAGTAGGTCGGGAAGCTCCGGGGTAAAGAAGGGAGCCTTAAAGCAGAAGCTTGACTCCCATCTGCTCTGTGATCTCAGGCAAGCTACTTAGCTCTCGAGCCTCTGTTTCCCCATCTGTAAAATGCAGATGAAAGCATCTCTCCTATGGAGGAGTCATGAGAATTTAGTGAGATTATATATGTGTGTGTGTGTGTGTGTGTGTATAATGTGTAAAACACTTCCCATTTGGCATTCAATGAATAAGAATTCCTGAGTTCTGTAACAATGGACAGTATTGACGAGAGACCTCTCCGAAGAACAGCCTGATTCACCAAGGGCCTGTAGGGTCCCAGGAGCTCCTGGCTGAGGAACCGAGGACACAGGACACTGTGTCCCTGGCCCCTGGGAGGGATTTTTGGAGTATTCGGTGTTTGGGCTCCATCCCTGCCCCTCACTGTTCCCACTCCTCCGCCTGTGGCCCCGTGGGTGTTCGGGACCAGCTAGAGGACCTTTTCTCTCTGCCACCTCGAGTCAATACCTAGGTCCCCACATCCAGGTCACTTGCCTTTCCTGCCCTTGGGAACAGCCTGGGGACAGGAGAGGGTGGTGTCCACTTCCCAGCTCACACTCCAGGAAGAGGAGGAACCCGGGGTTGTGTCCCTCTGCCTGGCAGGGATCCCACCCGTTAATCCCATGGTGGGAGCCTGTGTTTGGTTTGGTTGATGTTGTTTTTTTTCACTTTTTTATTTGGAAACGACGTTCGCTTTACAGAAGAGCTGCAAAGACAGCACGGTGGCTTCCGTATACCCCACACGCAGCGTCCCCTAGGGCTACCACTGCACGTGACCGCAGCACAGGAGAAATACTATGAGGTTGCATGGGATTGGGGGTGGGGGGCACATATGTGCTTCATTCAAAATCTGGGGAAGGCAGTGCTCCCCTTAAGGAGCCCCAGTCCTTTTGGTGGCCTTTCTGAGGCCACTTCATACTGTTTTCACAGGTCTCTCCCAAGGAATTGCTACTGCCCCCCCAACTCCGCTGCCCTGACAGACACCCAGACCCACATCCAGAGAGGCACATTTCCCAGCAGACATGCCAAGCGGGGCCTGGACCCCTAACTTTCAATGCTTTCTAGATGCAGTGGAGACTTACCTGGGGCCCCACACTCTCCGGCAGGCTGGGGACACAGCTTCTCAGAGAGCATCGTGGTAGAGGGTGGCAAACTACTCCTTGTCCTCTCTGGTCTCCTGGAGAGAAAAACAACAGGGCAAGCATTCCCTGGGCCCCCTTTACTCCAAAGAAATATCTCAGAAGACCCTGCTGCTTAGTGGTAGCCCCTGTGACTGTCACAGCAAGGACCCCGCCATTAGGAGGACCTAGGGAACAGGGGCAGAGGAGCTTACCGGGGGTTGGTGTGGGGGAGCCAAGGACCTCCTGTGCACCAGCACCTTGCTTCTGACTATCTCCCAATTCAAGAAGCAGTGCTGACTTTTCTTCCTTTTACAGCTGATGACAGTGAGGCTCAGAGAGGCCAGGAGATTTGTCTGAGGTCACACAGCCCATAAGTGGTGGAGCCAGACTCAGGGCCCCAGGCCTGTTTGGAGCACCAGCCCTATCACGCAGGACACTAGCCCAGCATGGCTACTGTGTTCCTCCTAAATCTGTCCCCTTGTTTCCTGCCTTCTGAGCTTGCCCCATGAAAAACCACTGCCTGTGATCCCTTGCCCACAGTCTGCTTTCTCCTGTGGGCTCCTGCTCCCTCTCACAGGACTCTATCCGAAGCCACCTTCCCTCTGAGGTTTTGGTGACACCTTAAGTAGAGGCGCGCCTCTTCTCCCCGTGACAGTGACGTCTCTGCGCCTTCCATCCATTCACAAACACGCGTGGTCCCCTCAGTGTCGGGCTTGGAGGCAGGTGGTGGGATGGAGCAGGAAAGAAGGGGAGTGGGCTCTCTCCAGAGAGACATGTTTATGTCCCAGTGGGAGAGGCGGATAACAAATGAATAAGCAAGAACACACTCAAAAGGATTTCGAGAGTGGTAAGTGCTATATGACTAGAATAAAAACTGATGACAGCAAAAAGGATCCCAGTAGGGGAGGGTCACTGCTGTCACCAGAGAGGTCAGAAAAGGCCCCAGGGGAGCGACATCAAAGCTGGGACCTGGTGAGTGAGAAGGTAGCCGTGGGAAGTCTGAGAACACACCAGGCTGAGAGAACAGTAGGTGCAAAGATCCTGAGGTGGGAATGGGCTGGGCACACCAGATATTCAGCCAGAAGGCCAGCAGCATGGAACCTGTCCTGCTGAGGACTGTTCCTCAGAAGCTCCTTCAAGGCAGAGATCATCTTCGGCTCCCCCGTGTCTCCCCTTACCTGGTCGGGGCCATCCCTTTGTTCATGTAGGCGGAGTGGGATTCAGTAGAGGGACATGGGATCTCCCCCTAGTGCTGTCACCAATCCCTGACATCAATTCATATCCAATGAAGTGGGGCAGGGAGACGCTCCTGGGGCGGGAGGGGCAAGCCCTGTAGAGAGACCCTGACCCCAGGGCTTGAGTCCCAGCTGAGCCCCTTAGGACCCCAGAGGCTCTGAAAAGTCACTTCTCCTCTCTGGGCCTCGGTGTCCCCTTCTGTAAAATGGGACTAGCTCCCAGTTTCCTGAGGGATGGGCAGGACTCCGTGAGTCGCTGTGTGAGACAGGGCCTAGCTCATTCTGAGCACCTGCACTCCCCCACCTGTCTGACCTGCGTGGAGATGTCACTTGCTCTGGTCTCCTCCAGAGTCTAGCTCAGCCCCCTGAGGAGGAAGAACACACAGCGGTCCTTGAACCAAGCTGCTCACTGGAATCCCCTCTGAACAGCTAAAAGAACTCCTCCCTGACCCGGGGCCTCCTAAGTCACAAATCCTAGGGTGAGGGCCTGGCCATCTGTGTCTTCTTGGGATTCTGCTGGTGATCCTGGTAGGCAGCCGGGGAGGAACTAGACAAGATGCTAAGGAAGAGCTCTAGGTCCCAAGAGGCTCCAACAGACCTGGGTCTAAGCCCTGGTTCTGCTAATCACTAGCCGTGTGGCCCTGTAAAGATGGCTGGACTCTGAGTCTCAGCTTCCTCATCTGAAGAATGGGAATGAAGACCATGTACGTATCACGAGATCATTGTCAGAGTCAGACAAGATCTTGAATATCAAGTGCTTAGAATAGCTCCTGGCGTGGGGTAAACCGTCAGATGCCTGCCGCTGTTATCATTGTAGTTACTATTAGGAATTTGCGGGTGGCAGGAAATCATGAGCAAGAGAGGTGGCGGGCTCGCTAAGAGAACTTCTCCGGATGGGCACCAAGTGGGATACGGAAGTGGTAGATGGCATCACTATACTGCACAGCTAACATGAATATCACTGTGCGTACTCACTACCTTGGAATCAAAATGTCTAAAAAGCAAAACAAAAGAGACAGTAGGCTCACCACTTCCCATTCGCTCGTTTGTTCATTCATTCATTCATTCCTCCCCGCACTCACTCATTCCATTACTCTGGGTCTGCAGCAGGTGGGAGAACCAAGAGGAGGCACCGTGTGGGGCCCAGCGGTCAGGCCGTGGTGAGTCCTCCCACACTGTCCTCCTCTGACTCACCTCTCTGTCCTCTTCTTTTGCAGAATTCTCTTCTCTGGTGGCCGAAAGCTAAGAGGCTGTGACTGCCCCTGGTCTTCCACCCCTCTGCCCCAAACACCCAACGTCAGCCCCTCTTGCTCCCCTCCTGCATTTCTGTTCAGTGTGTTTATGTTATTTTTTACTCCTCCCATCCCCTGTGGCCCTCAAATGACATCATTCTTCTGAAAAATGCTGGTGAAACAATAAAGGCTGAACCAATCGGAATCTGCTGCTCGGGAGGCCCTGGGTCTGGTGGGGCGTGGAGCTTCCCTTGGCTTCCCACGCCTGTGCAGGGGTGGTGCAGGATTTAGACTGAAAAGATAGGACAGGAGGGAAATTTCCTGAGCCCTCCTCCGCCTGTAGTCCTGAGAATGGTACCTTGCATGGGTTACCCATTAATCCTTGAAATACCTATAAGGTAGGTGATGAAACTCCCGTTTTACAGATGCAGAAATTAAGTCTTAGCGAGGAAAGTGATGTGTGTAAACCCACACAGCCAAGACTTATGGGTGGATGGATGGAGGGAGGAACGGACAGCCTTGAAGTCTCTTTGTTACAAATGACAGAAGCCCAACCCAGAGTAACTTAAGCGAAAAAGGAAAAAGAAAAAAAAAAAAAACACAAACACGCAAAGATTTGGTTATGCCTGAATAGTCCAGGGGTAGGCCTTCAGGAACGGTTGGATCAAGGGACTCAAGTGAGATCCCTTCTTCCCACATCTCTGAGGACTGGGTTCCTTTGTGCTAGATTCACTGTCAGACAGGCGCTCCCTCATGATGGCAAGATTCCTCCAGCAGCTCAAAGCCAGTAAAAAGAAGAACTTCTCTCTTCCAATCTCTCCATCAAGAAGACCCCAAATTTAGTTCCATCAATACCAATAGCTAATATTTATTGTGTACTTCCTTTGTGCTGAACCCTTTCCATGATTCCATCTGGACAACAACCCTATAAGTGAGGGCTATCACTGTCTCCTTTGTACAGATGAAGAAACATGGGCCCAGGGAAGCTCTATGTTTGCCCCAAATTGCTATCTAAGTAGTGGAGCCAGGGTCCCCAACCCTGGCAGCCACCTCCAGAGCCTGCGTCCCTCCCTGAACGTCACTGTGACCCAAAGGCTGGGGGCCCTGATTGGCACGTCCCGGATGGAACCCATCTGTGAAGACAGGTGGGGTCGGGCCCACAGAAGGCTCAGGGCCTGATACTTGGAGAGAGGTGTCCCAGCAGAAATCAGGAGTGGGGACGGCCACATTCCTGCAGGATGCCTTCTGCTTTTTCCCATGACAGCCTCGGGAAGGGAACTGGTGTGTTCTCCTTTCTCATGTCAGCTTTCCAGACCCCATACCCAGCTGTGTCGCTGGACCCTGCCCCTGGGCCCTGCCCTGTCGTCTTGGGCGGGGCTAGCAGGGAAGGCCCTCACTGAGGGCAAGGCCAGGGCAGGGGGCCCCATCCGGGCTCAGGCTGAGGGGCGGGGATGGACAGGCCACCACCTACCGCCGGGCAGTCAGCTGACTCAGGCTTAGGAGGGGACTCAGGACCAGAGCTAGGAAGTGGGCCAAAGCAGCGAGGTCCGAAGGGCCACCCCTACAGGGGCCCAACCAGGTGTGCTCCAAGGGGGCATGTAGGCCCTACATGGGAGCTGAGGGCGGGGGAAGATGAAGAGAGGCCGTATGCCGGGCGGGGCCGTGTGTCATGCAGGAGTCGGGGCCAGGCTGATGAGCTGCGGTGACTCCCTGGAAACCAGAGCAGGGCCCTGCGAGAAGGACGGGCAGGTCAGGAGCAGTGCTGCCCACTGCGGCCCACTGGCCTGAGGTGGCTTTCAGTGCTTCTCACCCCACACCCGAGTGACAGCCCGCACATCACAATTCGGACTCAGGGCAGCATGTGGCCCAGCAGCCAAGCAAATCTGAAAGTGGGGCTGTTCGACCTCTAAGGGGACACAGGACATTGGCTCGAGGGCCCTCCATTCGGAAAGGATTTTTTATCTGGGGATGTGGGCAGGACCAGGAGGAAATGGCTTCCCTGAGTGGAGGGCACATTTTGAGGGGGGTAGGGAGTGGCGTGTGAGTGGGGGTGATGACAAGTGACATCCCACCGGCCAGCAGTCACCACGCCTCCTCTTGCCTCTTATTACACAGCTCATGATTTCCTCCAGCCCCTTACCCTTGCCACCACTGCCTGAAGCCAAGCCTGGTCACAGGGTCGGGCAGGGGACCCCTCCACTAAGCCCTGCACCCAGGGTCTCACATTCGTGAAAAGCCTCCAGTTCAAACCTGGGGCCTCTCTCCTAATGAGGCCATACACTGTTTATAACTCAGGCTGGGACCCTTACCACCTGGAACTCAACTGGCTCTAAGCCAGCTCTCAGAGCTTCTGGTGGTGGCTCCCCTGTCCCCTGGCCCGCCGCAGTGGCTTCCTAGCCCGTGTCCTGGCCTCCACTCCCCTTCCCAATACATTCTCTACCCACAGCCCCTGACCATTCTTTCTGAAACAGATCAAATCATATTGTTCTGTCTAAAACTGTCCTGTGACTGCCCCATTCACAGACTAGGACCCCGAATCCAAGCACAGCCTTCCCTGCCCAAGTACAGCCCCCCTTCCCCATCTCTGCCTTCTCCCTCAGTCCTCCACTGCTCCCCACCAAGCTGCTCCCTCAGCCTGGACCATTCTGCCCTCCCCGCCACTCTCCCTGCCTCAGTCTTATTCCTTTAGGGAACCCCCCTCCTCCGGGTGGACACCCCAGCCGGGGCTGGAGGATCTGAACTTCTGCTGCAGGTGAAATGGGGAAAACAGGTGTGGTACCTAATTCACACCCACATCTCCCAGAGATCATAAGATGCCCAGGGCCATGTCCATGGGGTTCCTGGCTGGATTCTAGGGCCTAAGACACAAAAAGGTGCCATGATGCCAATGTGGCCACAGAGGCCAGACGTGGCCAATGACCGGATGAAGGCCAAAAGCGCAAAGCAGAACAGGGACCTGACCACAGCCTCCTGCTTCCCTACCCTGCCTCATTGTCTCCCCCATAAAGACCTTCCTCCCCAGCAAGGAGAGGGGCACAGAGGACAGACGTCCTCCTAGCCCAGCATCCACCAGCCTCCAGCCAGAGTCACACTGCCACCTGGTCACCACCCTCTTTGTTTGCCCATAGGCTCAAAGTAACTCCACCTCCGTTTCTTCGTGTTATGCTCACACCTTATCTCCATCTCCCTTCTGTCCTGGGGAGGCTGGGGACCTGGAGGGAGGGAGCTCGGGACTGGGAGAAGGAGCCTGACTGGCCTTTGATAAGAGCTGGGAGCAGCCAGCATGCGGGCAGAGGGCTGAATGATGGATTGAATGTCCTAGAGCTCGGAGAATACGCAGATAAGGGGGAAGAGGGAGCTGGAAGGGTCAGAGGTGGGGAGGCAGGGTGGGAAAAGTCGGGGCCTCAGACTATCTCCTTTTCCAGCCATGGACTTGGCTGGACAGAGCCGCCTTCCAAATCTGCCTCTTCCTCTTCTGAACACCTACTATGTGCCAGACATTTTGTAAATACCAACTCTTGATCCCCACCAGAACCCTCCAAAGAAGGGAGCAATTTCTATTTTACAGGTAAAAAAAAGAGAACTTGCCCAAATTACACAACTAATAAAACCGAAAACAACAAACATTGATGCATACAGTCAACGAGTAATTTTTGCGTGCCTGACATGTAGCCAACCCAGCTAAGCATTTGAGAAGCATTACCTCATGGGATCATCACAGTAACTGCTGGACCTCCTTCCAAAGTTCGGCCTCCTCCGGCTCTGCCTGCCCAAGTGAAGACCCCCCCACCTCCATCCAGCGTCTGTGCCGCCACCCCACAGGGACAATTAGCCTGGAAAGATTTGAGTTGGTTGAACCTGCTAGTCCAGTTTATAGAAGAATCAGGAAGCTGTTTGTGAGGGGCTCAGCATGTTGGACAGAAGTCCAGTGCCCTCTGACTCTGTACCCTCCTCCTTCAGTCCAGCCAGAGAAAGGCCTGGGCAGCCAGTCTGGACCCCTAAACCATGTCCAAAGCGCTCTCACCTGACTTACCTCTGTTTCTGCTCTTCCTGTACTGCCCCCCGGGAAGTGGTAGAAGAAATAGTAACATTTGGAGTTTTATGGCCAGATCTGGGGCTTCTAAGGGGCAAAAGCAGGCTCCCCAGGGGTGGTGGCACTCAAGCCATCATGGCCATTATGCAGATGAGAACATGGAGCCTGAGTAGCTTAGCCGAAACTCCAGATCGCATTTGCTGGACCCCGCTCTTTGCCTGGTGGGGGACAGAGCCAGGATTCAAAGTATGAGGAGCCTGGATTCAGAGTCCACATTCTCCTCCTACTCCCCCTACCTCCTCAGGCTGAAGAAGTCTCTCCTACTCAGGGAGGGCAGCCTTTGCATTCTGTTCAGGCCTTCAACTGATTGGATGAGGCCCACCCTCATTAGGCAGGCAATCTGTTTTACTCAGTCTATTGATTTAAATGTACTGTCATCTCAGAAACACCCAGAATAATGCTTGACCCCATATCTGGGCCAGTGAAGTTGACACATAAAATGAGCCATCACAAAAACCCCAATTTAAAAATAAACAAATGACTTGAAAGACATTTCTCCGAAGAATATATACCAATGGGCAAAAGCACGGGCAAGACGCTCAACATCATTGGTTATTAAGGAGACAGAAATTCAAAACACACTGAGAAACCACTTCATACCCCCTAGGATGGCTTTAATCAAGAAAATGAAAATAATATTACTGGCAGGGATGCGGAGACGTTAATACTCTCATCTATTGAGAGAGTATTATGAGAGAGCATAAAATGGTATAGTCATTACAGAAAACAGCATGGCGCCTCCTTGTAACGTTCAACATGGCATTTCCATACACCCCAGAAATCCACTCCCAGGTATAGATCCAAGAGAAATGAGAGTACGTGTCCAGACAGACACGTGTATGCAAGTGCTCACGTAACTCTGTTTGCAAGAGCCAAAAGGTGAAAACAACGCAAAGGTTCATCAGTGAATGAACAGATCATCAGGATGCAGTACCTCCGTACAATGGCATGGTACCCGGCCAAGGAAAAGAACAGAGCGCCGACCCACACTACAGCCGGGAGCTACCTTATACCCGTGATGTTCGGTGAAAGAAGCCAGACGCACAGCGTCCTTCTATATGAGAGATCCAGAACAGATAAATCCATATGGATATAAAGCAGACTAGAGGTTG